ACGGTCCGTGGATGGCAACCGTGGGTTGCACCTGCAACTTCTCAAAATCTGCATATTTGGTCTGTTTCGAATACGGGGTGTTACAAGAGGGGTAGGGGTGGGGGTGGCATAAAAAATGAAAATAATTTAAATTTGAAATATTATTTACCAAAACTATTTATTTTTTAAAATTTAATGGGGGTGGCGGGGGGAGTGGAAAAATTTTTTAAAAAAAAAAAAAAAAATTTCAAAAGCAATTTTGTAGAGGGGGTAGGGGTGGTAGGGTTGGGTGAGGTAAACAAAATCGAAATTTTAAAAATAAGAAAATTTAAAAAAATTAATTTATTTTTTGAATGGGGAGGGTTATGGGGTATGGGTAGGGTAAGGAAAAAAAAATTAAAGGATGAAGTAGAGTTTTGGAAAATGTTTCCCTTAATTTTTGAAGGGAAGTTATTTTCCTTAAATTTGAGGAAAATGAGTTGATTTGGAAAAATATTCCAAACATTTAAGACAAGCAAACATGGGAAAATTGGAAAACATTTTACAGAAAATGTTTTCATCCATACCAAACACACCCTAGATCACTACGGGAATGAAGAAAGACACAAAAGAATTACTTAAGAAGGATTTTGTATTCATTACGACTGGGAATAATTAGTTTTATTGCTTGATGTCATTACAAATGGGTGCCCCTCTAGGGGCTAATTTGAAAATATAAATTATGTACAAGACCCTATTCTAAAACTCTCTTTACAACTAGAAGAATCCAAGGATGTTCCATGCAAATCTATGGAATTCTAAGGTCTTTCAAGAAATTCTCCTTATATTTCTAGAATATTCCACTAAGGACTATTATTCTTCTAATCCACATGAACAATTTCTCCAAAATATTCCCAGTTCGCGCAAATCCTAGCCCATCGCGTTCTAATTTCTCCAACTCTATGTTGTGGACGTTATCGAACAATCCATCTGTAGACATCACTATCACATCCCATGTCCTTACTATAACTTTAATTTCTTGTGACACACTTGAATAATCAAATTTAACACCATTCCCTAACTGAAAATGATAATCGAATCCTTTTTGTTGAATTTCCAATTTGTAAACTATTACTCCGTCTCTTATATCAACAAATCTGCTATCTCCAAGGTTGACCGCATGTACAATATCACACATTAAAGTCAAAATACAATTTGTTGACGAACCTTGACATTTTGTGTTAAAATAAGCTTCGTTGAGAACCTCCATTGGCTGAATTTTGTTCCTTTGATCTTTCTGCTTGTGAATCTATAATTCAGTATTTCTAACCAACTGTCTCGAATATTCTCCAGAATCGATACCCTTTTTCACCCAACCACCAACATCATCTGCTACACCTATGATTTCTTCCTCTATACAAATAAAATGTGCATCTTCCCCAAGAGGCACTTTGTTAGATTTTGGTATGTAAAATGAGTCAGTCGCCATCTTCATCTTGAAATTCCCATTAATAAAACTATTAGTACTCTCAGCGTAAAAGCTTAGATCCTCATCTATATCCATCTCGTCTACAACATGTATATCATCTAGTCTATCGCCATTAAAGAAACTTGTAAAGAAGTGACAAAGCCGAAAATATATAAAAGGGGATTCAAAAAGAATTA